TTTGACAAAGTGATGTTGTCAAATGGTTTTAAAATTAATGAGTGTGATAAATGTGTTTATGTGAAAAACACTCAAAATGGATATGTCAGTGCCTATATGTGGATGATATGCTAACAATGGATAATAATTATGTTATAATCAAAACTATTAAAAAGATGTTGACAAAAAATTTTGATATGAAAGATTTAGGCATAACTGAAGTCATACTAGGAATCAAGATTTCTAGAACATCAGATGGTCTAATATTATCTCAGTCTCACTATATTGAGAAAATGATATAAAAGTTTAATAAGGAAGATAGTAGTCTTGTAAAGACTCCTGTTGATGTAAATCTTCATTTATCTAAAAATACGGATCTTAGCATATCATAACTTGAGTATTCTCGCATTATAGGAAGCTTAATGTATTTGATGAATTGCACATGACCAGATATAGCATACTCAGTTAATAAATTGAGTAGATATACAAATAATCCAGGAAAGAGCCATTGAACTTCAATAATCAGGGTTCTAAGGTATTTAAAATATACCATAAGTTATGGATTACATTATTCTAGATATCCAGCAGTACTTGAAGGATACAGTGATGCTAATTGGATATCAGATACGAAGGATTCTAAATCCACAAGTGGCTATGTCTTTACTATTGAAGGAGGTGTCATATCTTAGAAATCTTCAAAACAAACTTATATTGCCAGATCCACTATAGAATCTGAATTTATTGCTTTGGATAAAGCTGGTGAAGAAACTGAGTGGCTTTGTAATTTCTTAGAAGATATTCCAAATTAGTCTAAACCTGTGCCCGCTATATGTATACATTGCGATAGTCAATCAGCAATTGGAAGGGCACAAAGTAATATATATAACGGTAAGTCTCGACATATACGTCGATGACATAATACCGTTAGACAATTGCTCTCAAGTGGGATAATCTCAATAGATTATATTATGTCAAAAGATAATTTAGCAGATCCGTTTACAAAAGGTTTGACAAGAGAGCAAGTGTATAGTTCATCGAGGGGAATGGAATTAAACCCGAAAGCTAATGAGTCATCTTAATGGAAACCCAACCTAGTTGACCGGAGATCCCAAGATCTAGGTTTAAAAGGACAACAGAAATTTTGAATGGCTCACCAGAAGCACTGGGAAGATTTAATCTTCTACCCATTTCTATGATGAGACAGTGCTACCTACAGCGATGAGTAGGATAAGCTATGCTTTTAATGACTCTTATACCTTAAAAATTCAAGTGGGGTATAGTAGGATACTCTTAATAAGAAGTCACCTATATGAGTGTGAAGTGGGGCCGCTTCTATGAGAACTTCTAAGGCTAAGTTCTAGAGCGCTCATGAAATACCAGGAGTTGTTCAGGGCCATATGAACACAACCGTGAGAATCGACTTTGTGCGGGAAGGAATTGTGTGTTTACTATTGTCTCAGTTTACATCAACAGCTGAACAGTTCAAGACATCATGTTCACTGGTTAGCCAGTAAATTCGATAGTAATACACTAGGGAAGGTTCAAGGCTAAAAGTTACCTATCCCGATGCAGTTACTTTCTAATAGTACTCTCTTTAGTGTCTGTATCTTCTTCATTTGTAATCTACACAAATTTTCATTCATGTGGGGGATTGTTGGAAACGGGGACATTAAAAATATAAACTTTGGATAGAATTGTAATAGATTCTGCTAAAATTTTTTTACGTATCTATAAACCAGTGCGTTCCTCTCCGCAAGGAGATGAACGTGGTATATTTACTCTCTCAAATCCGTTTCTGGGTGAATGAGAAATTAGATCCAAAGTGAAGTATTTGATAAGTCTAAATGGAAAAAATGTTAAAACCAATTAAAGTTTACATAAGTCAAGCTTGGGCTTGGATTTAGGCATGGGCTTGGGCCTAATTGTAAAGTCCGGTTATTCTTTTTACTAAATGGAACTTTGGATTGAGCCTGTTTTTGGGCTGGGTTTATTTAAATGGGTTTCACAAATGGTTGGTTTTTGGAATTTAAATTAAAAAACCACTTTTTAGTTTTTTACAAAGGGTTACACCTTTTTCCCAACCATCATAACCCATGGTTGCACCCACCCGAAAAGGCACCTTGCTACCTATAAATACCCCCCTTTGGATCATTTGCAAATCACACCAAAATTCAGAGAATTCTTCTCTTCTTCTGAATTTTCTTTTTCCTTCTTCTCTCTTTAGTCTGTGGGTTCGAGCCTTAGTCAGTCACTCTGAGTCCGAGTTCGAGTCAGAGAATACTACACCGAGCCGATTCGCCTATTCTTTTGGTTTGCAGTGCCACTACCGAAGGAAGACAAGTCATTGTATCCTAGGAGATAGATGCTACTGAGTCCGTTAGCATTATAGCGGGGCGAATCTGTCTTAACGACATAGAATTAAATTCTAGCCTCGACTTTTAATCAGGTTCATTTATTTTATAGTTTTATTTGATTATATTAAACTATATATTATAAGAAATTATATATTTATAGATTATTATTTTATATTTACAGATAATATTTAAATAAATAATATATATAGTATAATTAGACCATATTTTGGATAACAACACCAATAACAGCCTTACAAAATATCATCAGGGTTTCAATGGCAGTGCTCTCGCCAATTTCAATATACTCGTCACAATGATCGGCTGCATAACCATATACGAGTATACGTATTGCAGTTGTCATCTTTTGTATAGAAGACAACCCTAAACGACCTATTGCATCCCTTTTTTGGATGAAGTAGTCGTCATAAGCTTTAACATTATTTAAGATACGAAGAAATAGTTCTCGTCACATTCTGAATCGTCTGTGAAAGTACTCCGGTGGATATGTGCAATTCTCGTCAAAGTAGTCTTTCATTAGTTGACGGTGGCTTCCCTCTCGATCACGATGAATGTACCGCCTCTTACACGGTTTAAAAACTTCCTCTACTATCTCTGGATTCACTGAATTCAAAATCTCACAAAAGGCGTCTTGATTACGTTGAATCATCAAGTCAATAACGTTATCTGATGAAGAGGATGATGAAGAAGGTGATGAAGAAGATGAAGAATTAGAGTCTGATAAAGGAAAAAATCGTGATAAGGAAGCCATTGGAATTTTGAGATTGAAAGATATGCGAATTGATATTTTGTTAGAATGAGTTGAGATAAACGTAATAATGATGAGATGAACAAATGGTTGTTTATATAACATGAAAAATATAGTTGTTAGAAATATAGCCGTTAGGAAAAAGTTAAAAAATAAATTTAATTTTAAATTTTAAAAATATTAATATTTTTAGAGAACGAAAATGCACTATTGGAGTGTATGCGATAACTAAAATTTGGATACTCTAAAACGCTGACGTGGCTATAAAAAATACTGATGTAGTTATTGAAAAATGCTGATGTGACAAATTCAAAAAATTTAATTTTAAAGAATATATTAGAAATGCTCTAAAAGTTGCCACCTTTTGGCATCTGAAAGTTAAAAATTGTGTTAAAGTGATCAAGTGCAAAGGTTGCAAGACATGGATTGATTGCTAAGAAGCACCGACACGTGTGTTTAGCCTAAGGTACCGGTGTTGGACACGTGTCCGACACCTTAAATCCGTGTCGCAATTTTTTATTATTAAAAATTGCAACGGAAACGGCTGTGGACACGTCGGGACAAGGCTGAAGACACGGCGGTCTGTTGATCAAAGTTTTTTTTTTTTTCATAACATAGAGTACGAAACAATGTATATAGAGTATACATCCAGTATATACATATAATACACACAAGAAAAATAATATGGAGAGAGATCAGAGTTAACATACAAGTCATTGTATAAATTGTAAAATGATACAATACAACCATATATACATACACAGAATGAAATCTTGGCTCAGATTGTTTGGAGTTGTTTGCCTTGATTTCATCCGATGAGTCGATTCAGGGCCTGTGCTTCAGTGAGGTCTTGGTGAGGAAAAGTACGGGAAAGAGCCGAAGAAGAAGACCTTTCAGAATGAACAGACGTGTCAATGAAAGAGAGAGAAATATGGAAAGAGATAGAAGTGTCAGATACAAATCTTATCCCTTTTAATGGTTGTTTGGTTACAAGAATTGCTTTGGATTATTTCGGAATAGAAAGACATTCTTATTCATTTGGGCTTGTACATCTTTATTTTATTTTTAATAAAAATAGTAGGACTTAAATATCATGTTTATTAATATAGATACAACAAATTGAACAAAATTTAATTTAATTTATATAAAAATAAATTATATTATTATTTTATTACCGTATCCTTGTATTTTTTTGAGATTTGCCGTATCGTCGTATTTGTGTCGTGTCGTACCTGTATCTTGTGTCCGTGTCTGTATCCATGTCCGTGTCCGTGCTTCTGATTGTGTTGACAAAAATTTACTCATTGCTTATTTTATCCTTCATAATTGATTTGACGAATGAGAAGTTCAGTACATTTGTGGCATGCAAGTGTATTTTTGTTAAAATAATTGACTTATGTGTCGCTTGCCTGTGACCTCTTCAAAGCCAAAATTTCAACTTTTGGCTGTTAAAGGAGGTAATTGCAATAATTTGCAACTAATAAGCGGTTCATTGCGAAAAAATAATAATAATAAAAAAAAAATAAAGAGATTTTGTTTGCATTTTTTTTTGTAGTACAAGGGTTTAATGCAATTTGGGAATTTCTTTTTGGGTCCCTACATTCTCAATTTCTGATATATTATTGTGTCACTCTTCGGATTTTCTCTTCCAATTTTACCATGATATACCTCTTCAATTTTCCGACTTTACTGGAGAAACTGTCGCCGCTTTTCACCACCCTTGATCCCTCTCATTTTTCACAAAGACGCAAAACTCCCTTTGTAAATTTAAATTCTCATTAACATCCCCAGCAAATGCGCTGTCACGTCAGGGATATTTTCGTCTTTCCACAAAGAGAGAGGGGCATTGAGAATCCAAAAATATCCGCGCCCTCTCTCTCTCTATTAAGTCTCTTTTAAGCTGAAACGTCCGGTCTTGGAGCCACCGAACCATCTCAGTCATCACTTAATCTCAACCGTCCATTCGATCATCTAACGGCTCTCAATAGTCGAGGAGTAGTTACCCCTCTCTTCTCTCTGTGGTTTTTATCATAAACCCTAGAAGGTTCCTGCGCTTCGCAGCCCCCTTCTTTCTCTCCTTCTTGTTTCTCTCTCTAACACAAGAAAAAGACTCGAGACCTTCACAAACACACTCCGATCTTCAATCTTAAAGGCATAAAGATTCTGGAAACTGTTAGATCGAGAATCATAGCGTCCCTGTTTCGATTCCAAACACACAAGATGAGATCTTAGCTTCGATTCTTCGATTCTTTGAGGTTTCTCTCAGGTACTGTCTCTTCTTCGCGATCGATATGTTCTTGATACTCTTTTGCATGTACTTTTAGAGAGAGAAACAGAGTTTGTAGATATCTGTATTCTGTTCAGATTACGAGACTCTGTACTGAACAAACTGGTTCTGAGACTGAGTCAGTCCGAGTCCGAGTTTGGCTGAGTCAGAGTCAGAGTCAGAGTCAGAGTCAGAGTCCGAGTCTGAGTCTGGCTGAGTCAGCGTCCGAGTTTGGAGGGAGGGATTGTGATTTATTATTATTTATTTTTCTCTAAGCGGAGAGATTGTGAATTGATGTGAAAGTTGGTGACTCCGAGTTTGGTTAGAAGTACTGAATTAAAGGGGAAGTTGGAGTTTTTGCATGTGGTGAGCCATCAGAGTGCGAAAGGGAGTACGAATTGGTGACTGTGTGTGTGTTGGTCACGGCTAGATTGGGTGGAGAGGACTGAACAAAGGGAAAGATCGAGCCAGGGGTTTGTCTTTGTCAAAACCACGTGCCGATGCCTTCGGTGGGGATGAGAAGAACTACGAGGGTGTTCGGGGCGAGGGTTTTGAGGTCCGGTAGACGATTGTGGTCGGCGGGGGCCGTTGAGGCTAAGCACATGAGAGCTGCTGATGGGGATGAGTGGGCTGAAATTCTTGATAATTCTGGAGACGGGGGTGATGCAAGTCTGTGCAAGGAAAATGGGTGGCATGATACTGGTTTTAAGCATGAAGAAATGGATGTTGATGAAAAAATTGGAGAACCCATCTCTGGAAAAAGTGCGCCGAAGGGTTCAGTAAATAGTAATTGTGTTAATAGGAGGAGGTGGGGTTCTGTCTATCAGAGAAAAAGGAAAACAACAGATACAAAGAGTCCTGAACTTTCAGGTCCTTGTGAAAAGAAGAGGGCTTTGGGGAATAGAAGGTATGGGAATCAATTCACTCGGAAGCAGTGGAGAAAGAAAACAGAAGAGAGTCCTGTAGCTGAAACTAGTTATTCAAATGCGGATCTTGTGGGACGAGCTGTTTTGCAAAGGCGTAAATGTCGAGTTCTTGCTGCTTCTGTTGAATGTTCTTATAGTAGCAGTTGTTGGTTTGCTCGTTTTTTGAATTTGGTTTTGAGATACATGAGGAAGACAAGGGTGACAGTGCCACAGCTTTTAGCTTTCATGTTCTCTGAGCCACTTGCTCAAGTTTTCTCTTCACATGGCATTCATTTTCTACAGGTATGTTGTCATGTTTTTGTTATAGATAGATTTTGTTTTTGTTTTTGTTTTTATACTATTTCTTTGATTTACTTGCTGCAATACGGGAAGCACTCTAGTAGTGAAAGTTTTTGTGTTTTATTTTTCTATTGCAGCATCTGCAATAAGTTTATTTCTTCTATTAAAATTGCTAGGGGGGGAAGTACTTTATGTGAAGAATATTAATTATTTTTTCTGGGGGACCTTTGTTGATGAGTAAGAGTCGGCTTTGTGTTCAGTGATTTGGAAGTTGCTGATTTTTTTTTTTTTTTTTTTTTTTTTTAAAAAAAAAGAAGACATTTTTTGGAGTTCACTTGTAAATTTTTACTGGGTTTGGTGAGAATCACATTTCATATGATAATTTTCTAGAGAATATTGAATCAGTTTAGAGCCCTTTTTTGGATTGCTTTTCTACTCCTTAAAAGCCTTTTATTTGAAAAATTACGATTTAGATGTGTTTGGTAACCATTATAAGTGCTTTTAATTGTTACCAAATTTAGTTCAGTGGAGCGTATGAATGAAGCTAAAATATGCGAATATTCATTAGACAATTTTGTCCATTTTATTTTTTATAAGTGCAATTACACCCATCCCTTAATAAAGTAGTTATTATCAAATATGGTAACGATATTATTATAAAATCAGCAATCCTAAAAGGAAATTAATTCCCATTTTTTATAACTGCAATTACACCCATTCGTTAATAAAGTAGTTATTATCAAATATGGTAACATCATATTAAAGGATATTATTGTAAAATCAGTAATAGAAGTATTAAAAAAAAAAAATTTTTACCAAATAAATTAAAAAATAATTTAATTGTGATAAGTACTTATTATAATGTGTTACCAAATACATAACATGTTTTTTATTGACAGCAATCTTTGACAGCTCTATTGATAAAAAAAAAGGGGGCTCTTATTATGTGGGTTTGTTACTGTGTATTTTTGTACTTTTTTTATTATTATACTTATAACCCTTTTTGTCTTTTCTCATGCTTTTAGGATTCTCAATCCATTAAAAGCTCTGGAAGTTGCAAAATTTTTGGGTCCAAGAGTTCTATACCATTGTTTACTGTGGACTTCTCTGCAGTTCCGTCCTGCTTCATGTATTTACATTCAAGTATGCTTCTTAGATATCTGTGTCTGCCCTATACTCTTGTAAATCATTCAATGGTTATAGACACAAAGGACGACGGAATGGAGCTCGATGAAGTCCCTCTTTCATGCATTCCTTCTGAGAGAGATCTATGCGGAAGCAAAACCATAGCATCTGGCAATGATAATTCTGGGAAGAGGAGGGTGTTGCAGTCAACTGTTGGAGCACCTAAATTAGCTAGTAGAACTGTTCAGTCAAGGAATGGCGTTAATTCTCGCAGTATCCAGAAGAGGAGAAGTTCTCTGAGATCGAGGAGAAAGAGAAATCCATCACTGTTAGGCATGCGCAGAGCTGATGGAGCTTTACTTTCTGATATTTTTAGTTTTAGGCGTGATGGCATTCCATTGTCTCCTGTAACATCTGTCCGTGAACTTAGGAGTTCATCCTACAGGAGTTCCACGGCAAACATCAAAGAAGTGAATTCAACCTTGGCTGGATTGACACAAGACATAGATTCAGCCTGTTGTTCTGCAAACATACTGGTTATTGAATCCGACAAGTGTCATCGGGAAGAAGGTGCTACAATTACATTAGAAACTTCTACTACAAAACAATGGTATCTTGCTGTCAAGAGAGAGGGGATAATGAGATACAGCCTCATGGCACAAAAAATTATGAGACCCTCTAGCTGCAACCGTGTCACCCATGACATAATATGGACAGAGGACAATAATAGTTGGAAGCTAGAGTTTCCCAATAGGCAAGACTGGTTTATTTTCAAGGAGCTTTACCGTGAATGTTCTGGGCGCAATGTGCAAGCCTCGACGAATAAGACCACAATCCCTGTGCCTGGAGTACAGGAAGTATTTGGGTATTCAGGAGTCCATTCTATTATATTTGTACGACCAGATTCATACATCCGTTTTAAAAATGATGAGGTGTCAAGAGCACTGGCAAAACGGACTGCAAATTATGACATGGATTCTGAAGACGAGGAGTGGCTGAACAAATTTAATATGCAGTCCTCTGCCGAGAATGAGCTGAATGAGCATGTCTCAGAGGAGAACTTTGAGTTAATAATTGATGCTTTTGAGAAAGCTTTCTATTGTAGTCCAGATGATTTTCCCGATGAGAAAGCAGCTGACAAACTTTGTCTGGGCCTGGAAAGGAGAGAAGTTATAGAAGCTGTGTATAGTTATTGGATGAGAAAAAGAAGACAGAGACGAACGGCATTGGTTAAGATTTTCCAGGTAAAAGCAGCACCATTTTTCAGAAACATTATTTTTTGTTGGCAATGTCTCTAGTTTTCTGCTATACTTGCCATGTTGGATCTCCTGCTGCTTTCATGCTGTCTATGCATAGTTTTCTCTAAATGTACCATTGCAGATCATTATCACAATTGTACAATGCTAATTATATTTTCATAGAAGTCCCTTACTTGTGTTTTCATTAATTTTTAACCAGGCCTCTGATTTTTTTTTTTTTTTTTTGGGGGGGGGGGGGGGGGGGGGGGGTGTGGTTGGGGAGAACTGGAAAAGGGTGGTGGAGACAGTAAGAATTATAAAGAGCGACTCTTACCTGTAAGAAGTTATTCTCCTCAATGTTTAAAATGAAAAGAAATGCCTTTCATTGATCTGTCGCTCTTTTGGTTTCCATTCAAGTTAAATTGTTTTGTAGATACTCTGTCATCGGTCTATTTTAAAAATTAATTAGGGGAACTTCTATTTTTTAAACACAAATCTTCAGTTAACTGACTGGTTGAGTAACATGGTAGATGAGTAATTACTGTTTTACTAACAAAAAACAAGTACGTCCTCGGGATATATATATATATATATATAGATATTAAAAAATCAAATCTATTTCATTCTTCTCGCATAATATGCAGAATTCAATTTTTGTAATCATGAAACGTTTATATTTCTTTCTATTTTTTGAAAGATCAAACGCTTATATTTCGGTAGTATTGTTACTCTGACCAGATTAAGATGACGCTGGAGAGCTGATTGATGCAGGAGACTGGCTATATTAACTTCTTCTGCACTCATGGTAATATATAAATTCCATTGAGTTGTATTATACGAGTGAAGTAGTGTGTTGACGAGTAAGGGCAATGAAGTAAAAGTTGTGGTGCATCCATTGAATGAGTTACTTATCACTTAAACTAGGAGATTTTAGGAAAAAAATGCTTTGATCGCTGGGAAGTGAAGTTTGGGATGGCTTGCTTGACCATTGATGAAACTGGAATCTGGTTTTTATTCTTGCCCTGACATTGACAAGACGAGACTCCTAGGGGACTTTGGTCAAGGAGGGTTATAGTTGGGCCTCACAAAGCTGTTGTTGTGCCTTACCTGGCAATTTATGTATAGTGTTAGTGGAACCTTTGTGGTTGGAATTGAAAAACAGGAGTTTTGCCTTTGTTTCATAAAAGTTGTTGAACAGGAAGCTAGATTGAGCTTGGCTTGGTGTTAAGGTCTCTTTTAGACAGGTTTTCAAAAGGAAAAAAATATCACCATGGCGGCTGTGGCTGGTTGAAGTGATGCTCTTCTTTCTGATGTGGGCATTCCTTCATCTGATCAGACCCTTGTTTCAGAACACTATTATGTTTAATTTAGATTATGTAATCTTAATTTACATCATGAAGAGGGGATATGAAATATTTTTGACTTTTCTAATACACACACGTGTGTGTGTGTGTGTGTGTGTGTTTGTGTGTGTATTGAGCCTTCTATTTGGGAGGAATCATTTGATAGAAGTTAGTTAACCATTAGTTATCTAATGTTTGGATTAAAAAGGGACTGGTAACTGTTAGAACGCTAGTGATGCCCAAATGCCTGTTAGAACGCGAGTGATGTCCAAATGCATATAAATGTTGCGGGACAAGTCACAAACTCTGTTATTTATTTGCCAAGTGGGTGTAATTGTTAGAGGTTCTTGAGGTCTTTCACAATTGTTATGTCGCAAATAAGCTACAAATCTCTGTAGCTGATTCAGTCTGTTGTACCTGTCAAGTAAGAGTTGGTTGAGATGGCACATTACATACGAGCTCATGCTGCCTTCAGAAAACATAGATGAAGATTATGCAATGTCTCAAATCTGTTTTTCTTTTTTGTTAGGTTGCCTCATCTGGTAATGGTGTGTCACTTTAGCAATATGAACCTGCCTTTCAGGAGGTTACTACATAGCCCTGTAAAAGAAGTGTCTTTTCCTTGTATAAGCATAGGGGATTTGATTCGTGTATGTGAACTGAAATATGCTGCATGTCTAAGAAACCATTTTAATTCATTTGTATATAATCAGCTGCTGCATTTTTATATTCTAACTCACCACCTCCCTTCTTATTTTATTCACTGTACGCATATTATATTTTATTCCTTCTGCTGTTTATGCTTCAAATTTGAGTCACTCTGATGATGTTTCTTACTGCTCTCATTGAGCTGGTTATCTGATGAACATCGACAATCTTTCCTGACAGTGTTATCAGCCTAGGAGACCTCGACTAAATCCCAACTCTGTTCTCCGTAAGAAAAGGTCTTTCAAACGACAAGCGAGCCAATCAAGAAAAGGCAAACAACGGACTTTTTTGCAAGGTTTGTGCATCATTTGTAGCTCTGTCATTTGTTTCTGATTCTTCTTAATGTTCTGAGATTGCAAATATCTTTGTTGCTTCACAAAAATGTAGATAGGGAAAACATGGGAAATTGTGACCTTGAGAAAATTTGTTGCTTCAGTTTCATCTATTCATCAGCTTAAGAAGCTTTTAGATTGTAATGTTGTTGTATTTTAGTATGGGTGTTGTAGGTTATGGTAATGTAAAGCTTTATTCCTGTTGTTACTTTAGTTACAATTGTTACATTGGCAATTTGTTTTTTGTACTTGTTTATGGGTGTGTCTTGAAAGACTTGATTCATCATGTTTCATGAGATTGCCTTGTAGTCTGAAAATGGCAACTGCATGCATATGTAAGCTGTTAGTGGGATATGATTCTTGTTGATTTGGCTAAGCATCTGTCTAAATTTTGTTTCTTTTGTATATTGTATCTTTAGAAAAGAATCTCATTCTAAAGTAATATACAGCCTTGGCAGTCGAACAAGATATCTTCGATGAACAGAGCTCCCTGCTTAAAGTTGAAGAAGCCAAAGCTGCAGCAAGTAGATCTGAGGGGTTGGCTGTTCTCAAGCGTCAAAAAGCCCAGGTGCTGATGGAGAACGCAGATTTGGCAACATACAAAGCTACAATGGCACTTAGAATTGCTGAAGCAGCTCAAGTTGCAGAATCAGTAGATTCCACCGCCTCTTTTTTTCTCGATTAACGGGGTTAATAGGGTATCTTTGTTGCTAATTCAAATGGCCAATTTTTAGACTGCAGGAGAGATGACAGCGTCATGGCTGTTTTTTAAGCCTTTTTGGGTGGTCAGCCTTTGAAGAAAGTGATGTAATTCCGTATATATTTGATTGAATGTACATTTTGTATTATTGGTATTTAACCTTACAACCAAATATGTACAAGGAGATTTGCTTGATTTCTTCAAACAGAGAAAAGCAAAAAAAAAAAAAAAAAAAAAAAAAAATTCCCAAAATTCTAACCTAACCTTTTTTGTACATAATATCTGTAACATGACTATAAAACTTGGAGAGCATGGTATGTGCTTGTTTTTTTAATGTGTTTTTTGAAGGGTTCATTTTTTAAAGTTTGATTACATATTTCTGGATATTTACTGTTGAAAAACCTAGATAGAATAATGGACGTGGGAGATGGATGTTCGTTTAGAGGTTAGTTTTGTGTTGAGTGCTTTCGTTTTTCTCTTATGTAGTTTAAGGATCATTTTTCTTACACAAATGAGGTAATTAAAATGATATGGTTGTGAGAATCTAATAATATCAGATATGGTGTCAATGAATTGTTCCCAAACATTTCTTCTGACTCTTTCCACTTGAACAGGTTTCTCTCTTGGAATTGGCGTTTTGAATGAATTTGGAATCGTAAGAAAATTGAGTCAATTTTAGTTTATATTTGTTTTTCTTAAGCCTATGGTATGGGTAAAATATGCGGACTCAGGCTTTCATAAAAAAAACAAAAACATTGTACTGGGAATAACAACATGAATAGTACAATATATTTTTTTAATTATTTTTTTTTTTATAATACATGAATTAGTAGTATTTAAATTGGGCCGGCCCGTGCCCACAATTGACCTTTGATGAAGGTCGTCTCTTGGTCATGTTCGACAGTTCGAGACAACTAAAACAAAATCGACGCATCTGTGTATTATTTGTGTGCGCATAGACACGCATGTAAAACAGAATTGAATCAGTCATCTACTGTGTGTGTATATATATATATATATATATTAGGAAAAAGCATGTACACTTGATGAATGTTTTGTAACTTATTATATTATTTGGTAAATTATTTTATTAAACAATTACTTATTTTACCTAATTTTTTAAGTTGTTTTAATAATGATTTGAAACTCTTTTATTTTAATTCATTTTTTATCAATTAATAAATATTTTTTATATTAATAAATAAATACTGAAATACTAAAAGAAAATAAAATACTCCTTCTGTCCCTTATTAATAGTCCATCATTGTCCTTTATCTTTTTAAAAAATTTCAAACTTTGCGTTATATATATTTAATGTTTGAAGGACAATTTAGTAATTTAAAAAGGGGACAATGCATTAATTGCATGTTCCATTAAAAAGTTCTAAAACCAAAAATGGACAACTAATGAAGGACGGAGGTAGTACCTAATTTGTGGTAGAGTTTTATAGAGTATTTTTTATATTAATAATTCTTGTCTAATTAGATTTCCTTTTATTAAAAAAGTCATAATAAAAGGTAATTTGTGGTAGAATTTTACAAAAATAATTTAATTTTTTATATCAATTAATAAATATTTTTTTATATTAATAATTCTTGTCTAATTAGATTTCCTTTTATTAAAAACTTATAATAAATAGGTAATTTGTGTTAGAGTTTTATAGAAACTCTTTAAACATATCCTTGTCTAATGTGATAGAGTTTTATTGAAAATAAAATAGGTAATTTGTATTAGAGTTCTATAGAAATTATTATTATTATTTTTTAAATATATCATTGTAGTTTTTTTTATTAAAAAACTCATAATAAATAGATAAATAGGTAATTTGTGTTAGAATTTTATAGAAACTCTTTAAATATATCATTGTTTAATGTGAATTATGTGATAGAGTTTTATTAAAAATAAAATAGGTAATTTATGATAGAGTTTTATAGAAATTATTTTATTTTCTTTAAATATATCGTTGTCTAATTAGATTTTCTTTTATTATAAAATTCATAATAAATAGATAATGTGATAGAGTTTTATAGAAAATAAAATTACTAATTTGTGATAAATTTTATAAAAATTATTTTATTTTTATTATAGAAATTTATATTCTTAGCTATCATTATCGTAAAATTTTATTAGTTCCCTATTGTACACAATTTGTAAAATGTGAGTGAGATACGTACCAAAGCAAAAAAATTAATAGGTGCTCTTAATGTGTTGAAAAGTAATTAAATATAACGTGTTAATAAATGTACACTGCCACTGCCGAGATTAGAACACAACATCAAAGATGGTATACGTGTGAAATTAGTGTACTCATTACTCCATTCCACATGGAGACAATATAAATATTAATTCATAATAAATAAATAATTTAAAATCAAGTTCAACCGAAAATCGAAAAACATTAAAATTAGACTCAAAATAATATATTAAGAATGAATTAAAAATAAAAATAATAAAAATTGAAAAAAAAAACATATAAAAAATTTTCAGCAACAAATTCAATTTAAAAACAAGTCCAACTGAAAACCAAAAAACATTGAAACCTGAGAAAAAAAATACAATCAAAAGTAAACTTATAAAGAGTAAATTAAAAATAAAAACTAAAGAAAAAAGAATAATGATACTTTTGAAAAATAAAAAGTAAAGGAAAAAAATAACAATGATGACGTAACTCAAAATAATAATAAATAATGAATGAACCAAAAATAAAAAAATAAAAAAGAAAACAAAAATAATGAATCACAATCCAAAGTAAACTTACCAAATCAACCACTTCTAAACATCAATTAGAAAGAGAAAAATAAAATAAAATAAAACAAATCAACTACTTCTAAACATCAATTAAAAAGAGAAAAATAAAAATAAAACAAAAGAAAAAAATAATACTAATGTTTCTAAAAAGAAAAAGTAAATAAAAAAATTAACGATCCAACCTTCTCAATACAACGAATTAAGAATAATAAATTTTGAACCATCCAAAGTGTACAAAGAGTAAAATAAAAATAAAAACTAAAGAAAAAAGAAGAATGATACTTCTGAAAAAGAAAAAGAAAAAAAAAATGACTCAAAATAATAATAAATTAAGAATAAACCAATAATAATAATAATAATAATAAAACATAATAATAATGCTTATAAAAAGAAAAAGAAAAAACTTACGAGACCAATTATAAAGAGAAAAGAAAAAATATGCACCACAAGCCTGACCTAATATATATATATATATAAATAAGTTATATGTGATAAAGTTTTATTGAAAATAAAATAGGTAACTCAAATTTTATTAGGTAATTTGTGTTAGAGTTTTATAAAAACTCAATTTTATTAGGTAATTTGTGTTAGAGTTTTATAGAAACTCTTTTTATAAAAATTATTTTTATATTAATTAATAAATATTTTTTATATTAATAAATAAATACTGAATTAGTGAAACAATTAATAAATATTTTTGTACCATTTTTTTTTTTTTTTATAATCAATGAAGAATTAATCCATTCGTTAGCTATTTGAATTTGACTCTTTTATAAATTTTAAATGCCAAATCGTTTGCAAATCATTTCGTTTAGACTCTTTGCGATAGATATTTCATATAAGGTCGTGAGGTCCAGCTGGCAAAAATTAATCACACTTGGGTCAGTGCGTTGACATCATCACACTGACAAAGAACCATTTCGCTGGGAATCCTCTTCATCATCTTCAAGATCTCGCCCATCGTTCTCGTCACGAGCCTCTGCTTCATAGGCTTAACTGTTATCATTGGCAGAGGACTTCGACGACCCACCGGTCTTCTTCAATCATCTCGCCGTCATCCTCTTCAATCTTCATCAACAGCTGCTGGCCAAGGCGGCCCAATCATCTCGCCGCTAGGCGCCCGACAATCATTCCTGCTTCAGCCGGAAATTTCAAATGATCGCCGTGAGTCTTTTCATCCAGCCACCCGCTGGAACTCTTCACCGGAACCGGAACGTTCATCCCACCGGCCAAACGGTCATCATCGGCATGCATACAAACTCATCGTTGAACAGAACGACTGTCACCGTTCAGACCTTGTTATTTGGAATCATCTTCGCTTCTCACCGGATCTCGGTGAACAAACTCAACTTCGGTGTTGCACATCGTCGGCACTGTTTGTTGGGTCAACGAGCTTTTATGTCTGCACCGTTTGTTCGGTCATACCAACACTGTGGTGAAACCGGCTCTTGAGACACAGGAGAGACCGAAACGTTTTTTTATTTATTTTTATCTGCACTCCACCTGGGATTCTGCCTAACAAATTTCATTTTGCTTCGTATAATTATCAAAAGGTCACTACACGACATTATACAAGATAATATATGAATACTATTGACATATAACTCAAAACATGATACCATGATAATTCAAAGTGTTGGCTTCTAATGCAGTCTATGCCATTAATATAGGACAAAGGAAACTTTTAATCTTTTACAAATAAAATAAACACACAGAAACATGCACCATTTATTTATTTAGTTTTTTTTGTCTCGGAATGCTTTATACACACTTCAAAATTTGAAATAAAAAAAAATAAACAAATTATAAATCATGGAGAAGGAGAAAACAAGGTGAAACATCCATAAAGTCAAGGGCCCGTTTGGATCGAGATAACATATAGCATTATGGTTTGGTATGATATGAAAACAACTGTTTTGATATTAGTATGTTTTTAGTGGAAATCGGAATCATATTTGGTAAGGACTGTTTTGTTTTTGATAATTGTATATTAAAAATATGAAAACGCGTTTGGTAATGGCATGCGTTTTAAGGAATTCGAAAACAAAACACATTTGGGAAATTAGTTTTGTTGTCAAAAATTCTGAATCAATAACAGAATATCTTTTTGGTAAAGACTATTATGTTTTTGTTTTGAATAATTATATATATATAATACAATTATAAATTTATATGTAATAGTGTTCATTTTTTTTTTTTATAATTTGAGATAATTTGCTAAAAAATATAGATATATATTCTGTATTAAAGAGTTGGGAAAAAAAATTATGAATAAATTTACATGTATAAATAAGATCATCTGTGATGTTTATGAGGCATAAACATGATTAGTAGCAACCAAATTACAAATCTAACTTTGTAATAATCTTTTAATGAGATGATATCTTTGTACTCCATTTAACTTTGTTTTGTTTCATATATATATATATATATATATATATATATATATTATATAAATTCATTATGAATGAGAGAGAGAGAGATCTTTGTAGTTTAAACTAATAAGAAGCAAAGCCAAAATATTGATTTTCTTGAATTGGTCAGAGTTGAGGTTTGGTGAACATTGAAGCTTGTGAATAGTATTATTTCACTAAGATTAGTTTGAAATTTTATGCTGGAGATCCTTCAAAGTGCTAATATTTTTATTGTTAACTCATGAGACCATTTTCCCTTTTCTTGAGTATTTATTTTGATAACCAACTTCTGAATATTTCATACAATCTCCAACCATAATCAGAATTGATAAATAGGAAGAAAGATTAAAAGCAAGCAATCAAGGAAGATCTCTCTCTTACAAGATTGAACAATAAATCACCCCGAAAAAAATAAAAAAAATAAAAAGAGAGGCATGCCATCAAACAACCTGTTAGAAAAATTATTGCCATCCAAACAAGTACTTGAAAATATTTTGTAGGATTTTAATCAATCATAAACAACACACCAAACCACAAGTTTTTTTTTTTTTTGTACATCACAAACTTAATAAATTGTTGTTGCACCATTCACATATATACTTGCACATATAAGGAGTTAGACATTTCTTTAAAATAGTATGTGTGTACGCAATATCAGATTTGGGCTTCTAAACAGGCCCTAAATTTCCTACTATGTTTTCATTTTCTCTGATGTGCATGTGGCATGTTTTCATAAAAACCTATTACATTTAAAAGTGCTAATTTCAATCAATTATGTTAGCTAATCATAGTGCTAGGCGCACTCAACACTTTATTTTAAGTTGCATTACTTCAAACAGCCACGGATCTACCTTATGTCCCTAGTGAAATATATATATATATATATATAACCATTGTTTTCTTCTTTTTATATTAAATACTTATAAAATTTTAAAATTGCCTCTATTGAAATTATAAAAAAATTCTACTATAGCCCCCATAATAGAAGATGTCTGACGTATCGGCCTATACGCGATCCTCTTCAAGTTATGAAAAAATTCTACTATCGCCCTCATCGACTAGTATGCGATCTTTTTTCAAGTCCGATACGTAATTCGTATCGGCCAGCTTATATTGACTTTGTCCGAATCCGTTATACCGCGACTACGACTATAACCGATTCTGCATTACATAATTTTTTGAGTTCGTGCTGACTTCAAGTAATGTGTTAAAACACACACACACGCACATATATATATATACACCCCTATAAATGAGAGCTATTTATTGTAGATCAACAAGCGTTCAGCAATTTAAGTAAACAAAGAGAACAACAAAGGCATACCCTCACTTTACATCAAAAAAATAATAATAATAAATAAAGAAAGAAAAAGGACAAAAAGCAATCTACTGAGAAGTACTAACTCCATCCTCATGCAGTCAGAGATTCCTTTCTCTCCAAAGGTTCCAAATAATAAAAGCAAAAAATTTCTTCCAAACTTGACCTGATTAGAATTATTAAAAGAATATTTTAGCAAGAAATTTAATCAAATTTGTTTTAACAATAAGTTTTAACATCATTATTTGATTTCAACCGTCATTACTTCTCGAGCTGAAAATGATAATGTCAAAACTAAAAATAAAGAAAAAATTAAATTTGAAAATCAATATTTGTTATTCGGTATTAACTGATGTGACACAATGATAGAAATACTTCAAAAAGAGAGAAATAATATCTTATTTATTAGTAATAAAAAAATCTTTGCTCGATTCTATTTATATTGAAATTGCCAAAAAAAATTTTGATCGTGCATGTAATATAATTCTTAAAAATAATAATTTAAAGTAATTTGTCGACACATAATTTAACTGCATTATAATTTATAGGTATAATTTTTAAAAATAATAATTTAAGTAATTTGTTGAATCATAATTTAATTGCATTATAATTTATAGGTATAACAGTATAATTCTTAAAAATAATAATTTTAAGTAATTTTTTGATGAATAATTTAGTTGCATTATAATTTATAGGTGAAGATCCCAAAACTCCATTTAGAAATAAATGAGTCCCTATCACTATAAGAATCCCCAAATATATACTCATTCCGTCCCTAATTAGTAGTTCATTTTTTTCTTTTTTACCATATTCCAAATTAGTTGTCTTATTTGAAAAGTTAAAACACATTTTCTTTATATTTCCATTATTGTCCTTCTTTTTAAAAAAAAAATTCAAACTTTATAATTATATATATTTAAATTAAGTGTAAAGTACAGTCACACCCCCTAAGGTTTGGCAAAAGAACACTCAGAGAAAACTTATCTATTTTTTAGACAAAGACACTCCTTGAAGGTTCAAAAATGGACAAAGACACCCCTTTACTTGAAAAATTGACCAAACTACCCTTTGACCATTTAAGAGACTTTTTTAACTCTACAATTTAATAAATTTGACCAATCTACCCTCATGAACAATTTATACATTAAAAAATAATAATAAATAAATAAAAAAAGTCTCTTCTCTCTCAATAGTTTGGAACACAGGAGACTGGCTCATTCAAGAGTGACCAACTGATACCTTTACTCTCACAATGTGTGTGGTCCACGTGGATCCCAATCTGCCAAAAAAAAAAAAAAAAAAGGCATTGCGAAGCCAGCTCTGGGACACTAAAACTGATTGTGTACAATCAAGTTCACTTGATTAAATTCTCTTCCTGACTTGATGATTTGATGATGTTTCTTATGCTGCTTGAACAGATTTGAGTTTTATACTAGATTTGCAGAACAGATGAGAAAATTTAAAATTGAAATGTGTTGTGAACAAAGAGAACTGGATTTTGGCTTTATTTTTGACAATTATGTAATTGTCTTACATTTAAAATTATATTCACGATTTATTTTTTACAGAACACTCTATATATTTATTTATTATAAACAAAAATAGGGGTTAGGGACAGTGATGTCATTTTATAAAAAAAAAAATTTTATATATAAATTGTTCATGAGGGTAGATTGATCCAATTTATTACATTATAAAATTAAAAAAGTCTCATAAACGATCAAAAGGATAATTTGGTCAATTTTCTTTTAATATAAAGAAATATCTTTATTTATTTTTGAACCTTTAAAGAATGCCTTTGTCCAAAAAATAAATAAATTTTATTTGAATGTTTTTTTACCAAATTTTAAAAAATGTGATTATACTCTATCTTTAAATTAAAAAGAATAATTTGATAATTTTAAAAAAAATAATGCATTATTTACATCTCCCTTCAAAAGTTATAAAACCATATAAATGAGTAAATGTTGCTTTCCACTTGTCGTCTTCAATGCCGTCTCAGCTTCCATCTTAGAGAGAGAGTCAATCCCTTTCTTCCCCTCAAATGTGACGAAACTTGGAATTTCTCATGCAAGAGCTTGAAACACTCTCTAATACCCATTTTTGTCACCACCCACGATGCCTCGTTACAACCATCCCCCACATTCTTTCTTTATATATACAGATATATTCATTCAATCATTCACCATCAATACCCAATTTCACAACTTCACTAATGAAGTCACACTTGTGATACATGAAGCAAAGTTGTTGGTATCAACTGTTTTGAATCTCTGTTTCTTTCAGTGCTTTTATGGGTTTTTAGTGGGCGATCGACGAAGTTCTGTGCTGAAACAAATAAAGGGTATTACAAAAAAGGGGTCTTTTTTTGAGTGTTGTTGTAGCCGGTAACAATGGCCGCAGCATTGGCGGGAGATGACTTGGCGAGGTCGTTGAGCAGGCGGGGGAGCTTTTCCTCCGGTAGCCGGAAAGGCTGGGCGTCTGCCAGCATCCGGGAGGTGTTTGCCGCCCCCGGTGGAGATGTGTTCCAGAAGAGTGGGAGGGAAGATGATGAGGAGCAGCTTGTGTGGGCTGCGATTGAGCGCCTCCCAACATATGATAGGGTCAAAAGAGGAATTCTCAACAGAGTTTCGGACACCGGAAGGGTTTTTCATGAGGAGGTTGATGTTGCCAATCTTGGAATGAAAGACAAGAAACATCTCATTGAAAGCATACTCAAAGTTGTGGAAGATGATAATGAGAGGTTTCTTCTTAGGCTCAGAGACAGGACTGATAGGTAATGTTCTAATTGGTTAATTATATGTGTGTGTGTGTGTGTTTTTGAGAGTGCATTTTGTGAAGATTTTGATTTTGGGTCAAACAGGGTTGGGATTGATATTCCTACAATCGAAGTCCGGTATGAGCATTTGTCAGTGGAAGGAGATGCACATGTTGGAAGCAGGGCTCTTCCAACTCTCTGGAATTATACCTTGAATACACTAGAGGTACTTTGTTTTGTTTCTTCAGTTTTCTTCATTAATTAATTTAATTTTTTGATTTTCATTTGTGTGTAGATTTTTTTTTTCTTCATATAATTGGAATTCTAGGAGGGACTTTTTGACTATCAAGTTTTACTTATCAGCTGTAATTCTAGCAATATTTTCATTATTAGGGAAATTTCAGGTAAAAAATAGATGTTTATACCTTTTTGGCCTTCTAATTATGCTACTAAAACATCTTGATTCTAAATTGACTTGTTAAAAATTGTTCTATAGTTTTGCTTCTTATTCCTTTATTTTTTGTTGGATTTTTTTTCTTTTTTTTTTTTTGAAATTAACTTGTGGAACCTTGATAAATTGATTCATTTTTTTTTTTTTTTTTCTCTCTCTTTTCCAAATGATTCTTTAAAAAAAAATCTCTTTATTCATGTTGGTTTCAAGTCCTTCATGTTTCTTGGACATCTATGTACTGAAAAAATCTTTATTCATTCAAACAATTGATTTTTATTTTTATTTTATTTTTCTCTTTCTCCTTTTTCACAATATGTTGTGTATAGGGGCTTCTTGGGCTTGTGAGGCTTTCCCCATCAAAGAAAAGGGTTGTCAACATACTCCGCGACGTGAGTGGAATTGTGAAACCATCAAGGTATATATGTTCATGAATTGTGAAACCTTTTACACAGTTTGATTCTATAAGCATAAGATATGTCATAACCAAAACAATTCCAAGTACCTAGCACAGCCATTATCGATTTGCATTTGTGTTTTGTATCTTCGAACTTCCCTTTACAGGCTTTGCTGTCTAAATTTGTGTTTTTCAGAATGACACTACTTCTGGGGCCTCCAGGCTCTGGGAAGACCACATTGTTACAAGCACTTGCCGGAAAGTTGGACAAAAATTTAAGAGTGTGTAGAACTCCAATCCATTAAGAATTATTTGTCTCATTTTTTATGGTCGTGATGTCTTATAGTCCCAAATACTAAGTTCTTGACTTTTAACTTTTGTGGACAGGTAGCGGGAGAGATAACTTACTGTGGTCATGAAATGAATGAGTTTATACCTCAGAGAACTTGTGCTTACATTAGCCAGCATGATCTTCACCAAGGTGAGATGACTGTCAGAGAGACATTGGATTTCTCCGGACGTTGCTTGGGAGTTGGAACCAGATATGAACTAATGGCAGAACTGTCTAGAAGAGAAAAAGACTCTGGAATTAAACCTGATCCGGAGATTGATGCATTCATGAAAGCCACAGCAGTGGCTGGCCAAGAGTCTAGTTTGGTCACAGACTATGTTCTCAAGGTTTGCTCCTCTTGCCACTATTTATATGTTTTACTTTTCAACTCAATTTTACATAGCAAACTAATTCTTAAGGTGAATATAACAGATACTTGGACTAGATATCTGTGCTGATATTATGGTGGGTGATGAGATGAGAAGGGGTATTTCTGGTGGACAGAAGAAGCGTGTCACAACTGGTTCGTAAAAGGCATCTATTTGGAAAAATTAAGGTCCAAGTCATTTTGATTATGTGAAACAGTCTAATGAAAATTGAGTTTTTGCTGAATGCAGGAGAAATGTTGGTTGGGCCGGCAAAAGTTTTCTTCATGGACGAAATCTCAACTGGTCTTGACAGTTCTACAACTTTTCAGATTGTCAAGTTTATGAGGCAGATGGTTCATATCATGGATGTAACCATGATTATTTCTCTTCTTCAACCTGCACCTGAAACTTATGATCTTTTTGACGACATCATTTTTCTTTCGGAGGGTCAAATTGTCTACCAAGGTCCACGGGAACATGTTCTCGAGTTCTTTGAGCGTGTGGGATTTAAATGCCCAGATAGAAAAGGAGTAGCTGATTTTCTCCAAGAAGTTACTTCAAAGAAGGACCAAGAGCAGTACTGGTTCAAAAAGAATCAACCTTACCGATACATTTCAGTACCTGAGTTTGTGTCTCATTTCAACTCTTTCCACATCGGGCAGAAGGTTTTCAGTGAACTTGGAGTGCCTTATGACAGAACTAAAGCCCATCCTGCAGCATTGGTCACTGAAAAGTATGGTATCTCCAAGATGGATCTCTTCAAGGCATGCTTGTCGAGGGAGTGGCTATTGATGAAGCGCAACTCCTTCTTGTACATATTCAAGACTACCCAGATAACAATTATGTCAATATTTGCTTTTACGGTGTTCTTTAGGACGGAGATGAAGGCTGGTCACCCTGAACATGCAGCTAAATATTTTGGTGCACTGTTTTTCACTCTCATAAATGTGATGTTTAATGGGATGGCAGAGCTTGCATTGACAATTTTCAGGCTTCCGGTGTTCTATAAACAAAGGGATGCCTTATTTCACCCGGCATGGGCTTTTGCCCTACCAATTTGGCTTCTCAGGATCCCTCTTTCACTTATGGAATCAGGGATATGGATCATCCTCACATATTACACTATCGGATTTGCCCCTTCTTGGAGCAGGTATGTGCTTGCATCTCCATCCTTAAAACTTTAATCAGTAATATTCATGTTGAAGTACACTGTTATGTTGAGGACATGAATGAAAGAAATGTTCAGTTTAACCTCAATATACGGTTGAATGGTCATTACTAACTTATCACACTATCAAAATTAACTATTTTCAGGTTTTTCCGCCAATTTTTGGCATTATTTGGTATACATCAGTCGGCTTTGTCTCTCTTCCGTTTCATAGCAGCACTTGGAAGAACACAGGTTGTAGCGAATACTCTCGGTACATTTACATTGCTTTTGGTTTTCGTCCTTGGTGGATTCGTTGTTGCCAAAGGTTAGCATTTATATCTAATACTATTGATACTTTTTTTTTTTTTTTTTTTTGTACCCTTTAGCAGAAGTGTACTAATTCTGCAGAACACTAGTCACATGATAAATTTTATGCTGTTTGACACACTACGGAAGTTATTGAAGCGGCCATGTCACCATGTCATTTTTGTGATATTGTAAATTATCATAATTTTCTCTACTTGCAGATGACATCGAACCATGGATGATATGGGGGTACTGGATATCTCCCATGATGTATGGACAGAATGCTATATTCATCAATGAATTTCTGGATGAAAGATGGAGCGCGGTATGCTCAGCCAATAGTTTGCAAACAATTGTGTTTTTTTTTTTTTTTTTTCTTTGTTTAGCTTAAAATTTTCTACCTTCTTTATTTGATTATCTAAGATCTGTAATCTTTTTGTTTCTTACAGCCCAATCCCGACACAAGATTTCCTGAAACTACTATTGGGAAGGTTCTTCTTAAATCCAGGGGCATGTTTGTGGAAGAGTGTTGGTACTGGATTTCTGTTGCTGCACTCTTTGTGTTTTCTCTGCTCTTCAATGTTTTCTTCATTGTAGCGCTGACATACTTGAATCGTAAGATGCAACTTGTGATACTAATATTTCTGTTTCAGTTATGGGATCTGAATACTTCTTTGATAATAATTTGAAATTCTTATGCAGCTTTGGGGGATTCTAAATCTGTTATCATGGATGAGGAAGAAGAAACTAAGAAAAAAAATCGCCCATTCTCTAACACAAAGGCTCCCACAGATAGGACTTCAGCATCTACAGCCCCATTGTCTGAAGGTTTGATATTACACCTTCCTATTTCTCTTCAAAATTTTAACACTGTTGTTTGATCTACTTAATATGCTTCATCTGAGTGATGCAGTCATACGACTATTTGTTTGAGTTAGAATTTGTTGAACAACTGAATTCATTACAAAGTAATAGTTCCATAAATGGCTCCTTCACTCTCAATAACCATGAATGTCTCGGCTCTTTGTTCCCCCTCTACACATTTATCTCATTCTTCCCTAGACTTAGTGTACTTCGAATGCAGAAATTTGGCAATGGATAGAAAAATAATTCAAACGAACAGGTTGCATACCCATATATGAGAGTTGAGACTAAAGAGTTCTAGGAAACTAGAACAAGACTAATGGCCCAGTGGGAGGTCAAGGGTTCAAGTCTCAGTGGAGGCATGTGTGTGTCAGTAAGAAAAGAAACTAGAACAAGATCTTCTGCAAAAGTCACATTTCTGAGAATGTTTACATTTGAATGTTATTGATGACCCCTTCCAGTTCCAGAGGAGTAACCAGGTTCTATATGAGCCCCACCAAAATAAGACAAAGCTATACATGTTTGCTTTTATTCTGTGTGTTAGTACTTCATGCACTGCAACATTCTAGTAGATTGTGTCATGATCTACTATGGTTATTGCTTGGTGTTAAATATTGCAGCGGCCTTACTTTCATTTGGTGCTGTCCATACTGGGGCAAAATCACTAGATACAATCATATAACATTGATACCCATGTTTTGTCTTATAGTTGCTGATACAGCTTGAATTTTATATGACAGGTATTGATATGGCGGTGAGGAACACTCCACAACATACCAAATCAAGTGCTGTAGAGAATTCAAATAATAAAAGAGGAATGGTGCTACCCTTCCAACCCTTGTCCCTTGCTTTTGATCATGTGAATTACTACGTCGATATGCCTGCCGTAAGTCACTTGTCCTGAATTTTTCAATATATGTGTGATTAGATTAGGGTGTTTTCTTCTGTTTCACTCTTTTTGTGCAGCATCATCAAATACTAGAAAAAGAAGGCTGATTCCTGAGAATCCAACAAATTTTATGAAACTTGTTCATCAAAAAAGATTAATACATGTGGTTCAACTACCAACATTAATTTACTCAATTTTGGCTAGTTGATTATTTTAACTGTCTAAATTGATCATTGATGAAGGTTAGAACAGATAATTTTGACCCACCTGGTATGTGGATTGATCAATTTTCTGCTGTTTTGAAATGAATAATAGTTCATCTTAGTCTCATTATACTCAAAGTATATGATGCTAACCACCTTGAGATGTGGAAGAATCAAAACAAAATTTGAAATCTAAAGCAGCTTCAATTTAAATCTAGTGTAAAGGCTCTCACTAGCATAACATATGGTTGGTTCCCCAGGAAATGAAGAACCAAGGCATTGAGGAGACTCGTCTTCAACTATTACGAGATGTCAGTGGTGCTTTCAGGCCTGGTGTTCTAACAGCACTAGTTGGTGTGAGTGGTGCTGGAAAGACCACCTTGATGGATGTCCTAGCAGGAAGAAAGACTGGTGGGTATATAGAAGGAAGTATCAGCATTTCGGGGTACCCCAAAAACCAAGCAACTTTTGCTCGTGTCAGTGGTTATTGTGAACAGAATGATATCCATTCTCCACACGTTACAGTTTTTGAGTCCCTTGTGTTCTCTGCTTGGTTGCGTCTTGCTGCAGATGTAAAGCAGGAAACACGAAAGGTGCGTCTTCTGGTCACCCAAGCCTTGCTTTTTCATTCTTCTTCTAACCCATACAGTCTGTTTTTTCCAATTATATTCCTCCCTTCTCAACCATGTGTTGTTGCATTGCGTCTAAAAATGCTATTCTTTAGTCAACTGATGATTGCAGTATGGCCACATGTCTAACAACTTAAATTTCAAGCGAGGGCAAGGATTGATATTGTTTAACCCTACTGTGCTGTAGATGTTTGTCGAGGAAGTAATGGAGTTGGTTGAGTTGAACCCACTGAGGGATGCTCTAGTTGGCCTTCCAGGTGTAGATGGTCTCTCGACTGAGCAGAGGAAGAGGCTCACTATAGCCGTAGAATTGGTTGCAAATCCCTCCATCATTTTCATGGATGAGCCAACTTCTGGTCTTGATGCGAGAGCTGCTGCAATTGTGATGCGAACTGTGAGAAACACGGTGGACACTGGGCGAACTGTTGTCTGCACAATTCACCAACCGAGCATAGATATTTTTGAAGCTTTTGATGAGGTATTTCCCAACTTCATGGTTTTGCATTCTAGATTAGCTTGGAGTCCCATGCTCCTTCTGAACTTTGCTATTACTCTTGGTGCAGCTCTTCTTGATGAAAAGAGGAGGGCAAGTCACTTATGCCGGACCACTAGGTCGTCAGTCTCACCTGTTAGTAGAATACTTTGAAGTAAGTATCATTTCTCATCTGCAAACTTGGTAAACATGCTCACAATATTGTTCAGAAATCAAAGTGGACATTTATCTAACATTTATTCCACAATGTAATGATACTCACTCATCTGTCGTGACTAATATCTGTGATCTCTTGCAGTCTGTCCCAGGGGTAACTAAGATTAAGGATGGTTACAATCCTGCTACATGGATGCTTGAGGTCAGTTCTTCTGCAGTTGAGAATCAACTTGATGTGAACTTCGCAGACATTTATGCCAACTCTGACTTGTATCGGTATGTAGAAAATTACACTTCCATCTCATTCATTCTGCTTCTTTTGTCGTCTCTTTTTCTGAATAAAGTCTAAACTACGGCAATGTGATCTCTCTCCCTCTCTCAGGAGGAATCAAGCTCTTATCAAAGAGCTCAGCAATCCGGCACCAGAATCGCAGGACCTATATTTCCCATCCCAGTACTCCCAATCCTTCCTTACTCAATGCAAGTCTTGCTTCTGGAAACAGTACTGGTCCTACTGGAGGAATCCACAGTACAATGCCATCCGTTTTTTCATGACAATAGTTATTGGTATTCTGTTCGGAGTTATTTATTGGGACAAAGGAAAGAAGATGTAAGTGATATAACTGGAGTCCTGAATGTACTTTTCTGTCCTAAGGAATATACATTTGCTTGTTGATTGCTGTATTTATCATGGAATAACTTTCCGTCTTTAACAGGCACACGCAACAAGACTTGACAAATCTGCTAGGAGCTATATATTCTGCTGTTCTGTTTCTTGGAGGAACAAACACTTCCGCCGTGCAGACTGTTGTGGCAATCGAAAGAACTGTCTTCTATCGCGAAAGAGCAGCAGGGATGTATTCAGCACTGCCTTACGCATTTGCTCAAGTAAAAAGGATGAAAATTCAGTTTCGAGTACAAATTTTCAAATAAAACAAATTGACGTCAGAATGAAGAAAGCTAATTTCTAATATTTTATGCCCTGCAGGTGGCTGTAGAGATCATTTACGTCGCGATCCAAACTTTCATATATAGTTTACTTCTTTTCTCAATGATTGGATTCCAATGGGGAGTTGGCAAGTTCTTATGGTTCTACTACTACATAATGATGTGCTTCAACTACTTCACTTTGTATGGGATGATGCTTGTCGCCCTTACTCCGAGCTACCAAATTGCTGCAATTCTCATGTCATTCTTCCTCAGCTTCTGGAACCTGTTCTCCGGTTTCCTCATTGCTAGGATGGTAAGTAAACAAAGTCTGCAAGACACATTATTCCAATTATGCTTCCATCTTTTGATCAATACATTTAGTGAGACCTCTTTATAAAATTTCGATTCCTTACATATGCTTGGAACCATATATGAAGTTTTCAAATTCATCAAATATTTATTTTAGAAATTATGCAAAAAGTATGAATCTTGGATTCTGCATTTAATTATGAGCCTGAAATCACATAGAAGAAAAATTATTTCATTTTTTACTTTGATACACGGTTCTGCAAAAATGATTTACAAACAAATCAAAATCTATAGCTGAGAGGTTTGTGAAATCCCTAAATGGCCAAATAAGAAGAAAACACTAATCAATTTTATGGATTTTAATAAATGGCTCAATTTCGTGTGTGTGTGTGTTTTTTTTTTTTTTTTAATGCTGCCTTCAGCATTGAAGTACTTTGTCAATTTCCTTATTAAATTTTTTTAATAAAAAAAAATTATCTGCTTTTAACACCTTAAAAATTTGCAGCAAATACCGATATGGTGGAGGTGGTACTACTGGGGTTCTCCTGTGGCATGGACAATCTATGGCCTTGTGACGTCTCAGGCTGGTGACAAGGATGAGATGGTTGTGGTACCCGAAGATGGTGCCATGCAGGTGAAGGTTTACCTTGAGAAGTACTACGGCTTCAAGTATGATTTCCTCGGAGCTGTAGCCATCGCCCATGTTGGTTGGGTACTCCTATTCTTATTTGTCTTTGCCTATGGCATCAAGTTCCTTAACTTCCAAAGAAGATGATAAGAACACCTCAGAACATCATATTTTTTTTGCATACTCAGCTTTCTGGGAATAACTTGAAGGAAGACAAAAAACAGTTGTTTGTATTTTGTTGAATTTTGTAAATTGTGACAGAATTGTACTCATTTCCTTGTTAAATGAAGCTGCATTGTTTGATTGATGTCCATGGTTGCTTCTTTATCATTTCGCTTTAATTCAAATTCATATGCATTATATTTAAAAGCAGAATGGAGCAAAGATGCTATAATTTTATTTCCTTCCTTCCAACTTGCTTCCTTACTGTTGGTTTATCGAAATAAACAATCCCTGTAAGCTCACTCATGGGGATCGTTTAGAGCAGAACATAGAATTGAAAGCAAATACACCATCCAATGGATCCAACCGATATTTTTCCAATCTCAGATAAATGTATAAAATTTATTTCATCCAGGACTCCAGATGGAATGTGAATTCTGCGTCATCAACCTTCATTTTTTTGGGGGCAGTTGAGAAGCTTTGAACTCCTAATCAAACAGTCTTTTTAGATCCTACATCAACACTTACCACATGTGACAATGGCTTTGGTCTTGAGATTTTGTGGGAAGCATTTCAAAGAACAAGAAAGCATCACATTGACTACAAATTTCTAAATGGTAAAGCCCCTCAGGCTGCTGATTCATAGTGGACTACTTCACATTCACCTTAGTGGACTGCTTCACATTCACCTTCACCATTATGATGAATTAGTTTTTTTTTTTTATTTTTTTCTTTAAGCACGTGTATCGACTCCACAATACACACACCATTCAAGTCAGGAGTGCAGTTCGAAAGCGAAACCTCAAGAACTTACCTTCTGCATCCCTACCAACGCTGCCATGCCTTTGATGGCTGAATGGTTAAACCACAAAAAGCATTTTCGATCATTTTAAATAAGAAAGAAAACCTAAGTTAAACAGCTAACGAAAAGAAGAAAAAAGGTATTTAAGAAGAGTCAAATGGACTTCCCAGAAAGAGGGATTCAATAAGCAAAAAATATTTTGTTCAATTTAACATAAAGGAGACCTTTAGTAAGCTGCAGTTCTCCCTTCTCTTTTTTCCTAGCAAATTGTGTCAAATGCATGAAGCAAACATACAGCTTCTTAGAATCATATATCCAAACTTGCTAAAAGCAAATTGGTAGAGAATTTAAACACCTGAAATATCAAAAGTAGCAACAATTCTGCTTACATAAAGAGGAGGTTTGAATATAAGACAGAATAGCCTAGCCACACCTCCTGACGTCGGTTATTAAAACAAGTCGCAAAACATCTGCCATAGGAGAGTGTTTTCCATTCTAGAGGTGGGAGACGCTTCAATTTCAATATATTTTTTTTCTGCTACCAGTCATACATCATAACATAGCGTCTTGTTCAAATTATGATTAGTAGGTCCTCACTGGGGTTTGACAGGAGCATTTGCAAGGTCTTGAATCTCCTTCTTGCTCTTGATTAGACACTTTCTCTTGGTATCAGAATCGACTTTATCCAGGTCCTCAGCAATGCCCATGTAGCCATACAACACAAGATCCTCCATGTTTGATGCCTGCTTTTCTTCATCACCACCATTGCTACTTTTGCCCTTGCTGGAAGCTATTTGCTCCAAATCTATTCTCCCACGTCTCTTTTCAGCAAAATAGTTATGAAGCCTCTCTGCATCTTGCAGACCAGAGAACGTGCCCAAGAACTTCACCACCAGAATACTATGGTTTGCAGGCTTCCCAAGGCAAACCTTGATTTTTCCCCCACCAAAACCTTTACCTACCATTACGGGAAGGAGGAGAAAATTTTAGAAGAAAATGTCATATGTTAGCACCACAAACCAGACTTGGGCAGATAAAATATTCCAATTGTTCGTAATTTTCAGCTGTTTTCCAGGTTAAAGCAAAAAATAATTACAATCCTTTATAATTATCAAATTAACTGTTCTTATTCCAGAATAATAATAGTATCTAAGATCAATATACATTGACAGCATTGTTGTTTCAGCCAAGAATAATTTAGTTTTGAACAATCATAGATATTGTATACTCACCTCTAAGAAAATCCCCAAGTGCGTCTATACTTATGACTTTCCGCCCTTTAGGATCATTGTCTGAAATGGAGATGTTATGAATGACAATAGCAGGAGGCCAGAGTATAAGGTCCTCTTTCTGAGCTAAAGCTTCGTCACTAGAAATGGACTCTGGAGCCCATGTGATAACGTCTGGGGCAACCGAACTGTTCCACCCCATCAGAACACAAAGTGCTTTCTGAAGACCCAAGTGCTGCGCTCTCAAACCAACCTTGAGAGACATATAGGCATGTGTTACCAGGCGTTGAGTGTCCATGAACTCTTTCGATAGGCTGAAAGAACACTTATTTATGAGCAAATGGAAAAGGAGAATATTACTGCCAACAAAGAACTCACAAGTCTAAGGAAGAAAAAAATCAAGTTCAAAGTACTATCAAGCAAACCATAATATTGACATATTGCAATTACAGCCAGCAAAGCATGTAGATTGATCTGGTTCATATCAAGTTCAAAACGTGTCCAGTTGAATTGAACCACTTAAAAAAAAAAAAAAAAAATGTCAGCACGCACCATAGCTATCTAACATGGACATGAATATACATGTCAGTAGCACAAGGACAAAGCTGAAAATGAAGTAATCAAGTTTATTTATAATCAACAAACCCTAATAATGCCCTCTTTTATCCCCCAACATTACTTGTAAAACTACTTTATACCTGCCTCATCCATTAACCCCCAATATACACTAATTAACCTTCCACTTCCCGGTAGAGAGATTTTGCCAAAAACAAGCACAGAAATCATTCTTCACTCCAAAAATTCCAAGGTGAAATGGATAACTCGTGCAATCACTAATAATTAAATCCTGACCAAATATTGCAATAGTGGAGGCACATCAAGATGAGGAATAATAGCCAACTAACATTTTAAGAAGCTGTTTCAAATCAGCATGGCTGCTCTGCTTATTCGGTTAATCCTCTCTTTTTTAGAGGTTTGAAGGCCGTCCTTAGAAAACTCTCACAGGCAGCCTGAATCTCAAAGGTTAGACCCGTTTAAGCCATGATGTGCCTCTTCAAGCTGTCTAAGAGCTAATCAAACCTTAGAAGTTCATAATATTTTTTGGAGACTAGAAGTCCTGAAGATAAAGCGATATGCTGAAGCAATAAGAAATTAATCATTTATGTATCAACTCAACCATCTTGCACAACTCTCTTCGTTAAAGAATTATAAAATTATGTCCAAACTCCAAACAAGAGGTGCACTGGGTTTGCCCTTTCTATGGTTGCCTCGATCTAAAGGTCGTCTTAAAAAAGGCCACTACTAAATGTGGCTCTGTTAATCAAGGATGCTGCGAAGAACTAACTTTTGTTCATTATTTAACAAAATTGCTGCACTCATGCTCGAACACATTCTCAAGCTTGATCTAAAGCTCCTCCTACATAGACAAATAAATATCATATCCTTATCAAGATGTAGCTAATCTAAAGCTAACAAATCACCCTGTTACAGTCCACAAGACCTTCAATTTGTGGCAATGGGCTTGGCCAAATGGTTAAGGAAAACAAATAAAATAGCAAAACAGAATACGGATTATATTATCATCAATAATTACAACAAACAACTCAACCTAACCCCATTCAGTCCAAGCTGAATCAGCTTACAGAACCCTCAGATGAACTTCTTCAAGGGGATTTATCTAGTAGGAATTACAAGTCTATTCAAGTAGCCCCCACAAAAAAAAGAGCACCACAGATGAATTTGCAGCTATCTTAAATTCTGACAACCCTTGTCAAACAATAAAAGGAATAAGATGATCCTCACAGCCCTTCATTCCCTCAACACTGAATACATACTTGAATATGTTCATTTAATCTCTTTTTCTGTATTAGAAACAAACTAGATAATGCCTTGGATTATTAAATTACTCAGTAAGGATTTCTATCTTGTTGCTCCAAACTCATGTATTTTTGTCACAAACAATCCTTCACATAATCAATCTCTTTCTCGCAACGTGCAAGGGTATCTTCAATTTTCAAGCAGCATTAAAAAAGCTTTGCATAACCTAAGGAGGATATCTTATACCAGCTGAGCTTCAAAAAATAGATGGCGTTGGGAGGGCTGAACACGATACAGACATATTCTTTGGCATTATTTGCTCAAATATGGCTGCTCTATTCAAATACATGTTGTCACGATTGACAGCCCGAGCATTTTACCAGTGCACCAAGCAATGGCCCTTCACCACAACATCTATATCTATATATATACACACACACACACACTGTGTATTTATCTGTGTATATAAAAAATGTAAGAATCAAAACCAAAACCCCAACCCTCTTTATGAATGCATGCCAACACCATTTGTATTTATCAAGCATTGCCAACACTTGACTACCATGCTACTGGTACGTTAGGCGTTGCTGTTAGGATAAAAAATGTGCTTTTGTCAGTACAGCAGCCAAAAAATTGCTGTTAGTAAAACGCATGTTAGGTGTTTTCTCAATTAAAATATTTTTAATGTGGTTGGTAGCAATATTTTTTAAAACACGCCTATTGCAAATTTTCCAATAATGTCCTTTAATAGACTTTTACTATATTTGATAATAATAACTTTATAAAAGAAGGGGTGAAATTGTCTTTATAAAAAAAAATAAGGATAAAATTGTCTAAGAAAAACAGGTGACTAAAATATTGAACCTCTACTTAGAATGCAGTTTTAAAAGATACAAATTTTAGCTTCATTCAAAAGCCCCACTGAGATAAAATTGGTAATTATTAAAAGCTCTTTTAATGGTTACAAAACACATCTAAACATAAATTTTTGAAATAAAAGAGCTTTTAAGCGGTTGAAAAGCAATCCCAAACGGGCACTACAATGGCTTTATGACCACAATAAATTTTATATTTTATTCTCATAATGGTTCCACCAAGGGTTATTATCTTTTTATTTTTCTATTATGTCTTCATATAATTATGATCAAAAGGCAGCAAATGCTCTCTTCATTCTCTCGCATCATAATAATTCAATATATGCCAAGCAGAAAATGGATACTAAAAATGAGGGAAGTAGGATCAACCACCTCATCCATCTATATATCACATTATCATGATTTTGCACTGAGCACTCCCTATAACTCTACACCTCATGGCATGGTATGTATTAATAGCCTCCACCATCTCATTTGCAGATAAGGGCAGCAACTGAATTTTGATTAATAAGGCAGCACCTACAACCCCAAACTATGAGTTATCATTGAAGAGGAAAAAAAAACAAAGGGAAAAAGGCTTAAGTAGAAGGCAACCCCACCTGAAAATTTCAAGGAGCCAACTGAATTTGCCTTGAAAATTAATATTTGCAAACAATAGTTAACTCCAAAAATTACTACTATACCCCATCCATCTCCAAACTTGGTCGAAAAAATTAAATAATAGAAAATTTACAGCTTGTTTGGTGGGAGGGATAATGAATTGAAGGACGATGGGAGAAGGAACGGAGGAATGAAAAGCCTTCCCCTAGTTCGCTAGAGGAGATAGAGAATGAAAAGAAAAGAGGAAAGTCCCTCCCCTTTAGGCCTACCATATCCTTTCCACCACTTTTGGAAAAAAGGAAAGGCAGTATCATGCTCAATTTTTCTTTTGCATTTTTCCCTTTCCTAATAAGTAGAATCCTTGAAGTATGAATAAAGGTGACGTTGTGCAAACAAGGCCAAAGGTTAGGCCCATACCTCCACTCTCCCAGCACCCTTGTTTAGTTGGCATTACACTTGGCCTTCGTGATATGTTTTTCAGGGGAAAATACAAGGCATGGAATGGAGAGAAAGATAAGAGAAAGGGGAGAAGGAGACAGAAAGGAAGGATGAATGAGATCTGCCCTCTCCCCTGTACAAAAATCCTCTTCAAACTCTCTCTCACACACACAAATATATGAACAAATGTAATATATATAAACAAAAGTGTGTGTGTGTGTACACATTTTATATAATATATAAATTTATATGTTTATATGTTGACCCATTTGATAACGGCTCCTTACTTTTTCTCTCCTTCATTCCCTTTTGTCCACTTTTCCATTCTTCCTATCAAATGAAGGATTACCCTTGGCCCCCACACATACAAGGAAAAAGAAAAAGGCTTTTTTTATATTTAAATTATGAAGGTTATAAACTTTTTATAATCATCAAAATAAGTAAAGTCCTTTTACTTTTTTCATCATTTCCTTCCTACTCAACCAACCCAAATGCAAGAAAGGCTCCTTCCATTCCCTAAGAAAATCTCCTCCATTCCCAAAGAATATCTCTTCCATCCCTCCTACCTTTTTTTTTTTTTTTTTCTTTTTTCTTTCCAATTTCCATCCTTCACACTGAATGGAGCATTAATTATCAATAAAATCACAATTAACTAATAAAATAAGGAAAATGATTCTTGCACCAAGTAGTTGTAGTGAATTGCTGGACCTACTGTTTTTAATTGGTCATTATGCAACAAATAAGGAAGTGGGAACCTCCACTTACTTGTATTTAGCATAAATAACCAATCAACTTATCATTCAGTTAGGTAATTCACTGCAAGTTTTCGGTGTGAGTATCACTACTCAAAAAAATAATCACATAACTTAAAGCAGGGTCTGCTAGGGTATTTAATAAAATGGACTAGATTGGGACTGCATGTCTCATCCTATCAAAAATAAAGGAAATCGCATTCAACATTGGTTTAGGAAAATGCCACTTCTAACCTAATCTTTGGGCAATTGAACCACCAAACTTCCTCAACTTCACTAAACTCAATAAATCTATCCCTGTTGCTTCTCACTAACCTGGACTCCTTTTTTATTTTCAAAATTTCCTCACCGCCCCTGAAAGTCCAAAAATAACCTAAGGAACGAAACCTTCAAGGTTAGCAAGTAATCACATGATTGCAGCAAATAAGAAACAGATCACGGTACTTCGGTATCAGCATATTCAAACAAGTACTCCGCTTATAAGGAAGAAAATCTTGAAAAAGAAGACAGACCTTCTGCCACACACGATGCAGTACAAGCTACCAGCTCTTCCTTGCTCCTTGTATCTTTTTCGAACAGCTGGGTTCTCATTCAACTTTTTAGTGAATGATAAGAAGGCCTTCCCTACCAGTTGATTGAACTCCTCAGAATCTTCGGGTGGCTCAGACTTTGCATAACTCATCCAATCTTCTGCTTGGTCCACTTCATTTGCATGTACATCCACTTGATTATCATCCGCTTGATCTCCATCTCTACTTCTTATCCAAACATTGTGTTGTTTAGGAAAAACATGCCTTCTATTAGAACGATGAGAATTATGCCAGCTTAAAGGACCAGGTCTTGGAGGATCCTTTAAATATCTACCACCAGGCTTATAATGTTTGGTAGAATGCTCTCGCACTCGATCATGAGATGACAACCATTCATCAGATCCGGAAACTCCGTGACGATCAGCCCTATCAAATGACCTCTCCACTCTTCTATATGGGTTGTGGCCATGGCCACGTCTTGATGAAAATGAAGCACTCACATCTTCACCCATCAAATCCTCATCTCTGTCATGTAGTTCTTGCATCCTACTAGAATTGTTCCATTTACTTGACATAATACCTCTAGTATTATGCCTACTCATTTCTTCATCCATACTGTACTTTCTCTTGAGCACCCTATCAGATGGGTCATATGTTATATGCTCGTCTGCATTGGTTCTGTGTATTCTTCCAGCACGTCTGTGCATTTCTGCTTCATATTTAAGCGCACTCCTCGTACTTTCTTTATAAGATGCTGGACCTGCATCACTTCCGAAACCATAATCTAATCTCAAATGCAAATTTTTATTGTCTACTGAGACATCCAAATGAGACATTTTCTCTTCATTTAACATTCTCCTTCCGAACTCAACATAAGAAGTTCCAGAATCTACATACTCACCTCCTTGCTTTGATTCAATTAATGATCTGCTCATACCAAGGAAATCTGGAACTGTTTGCCTTTGCATGGAAGGTTGGTCCCATAAACTGCCATCTCTCAGATTTCTGTGAGAACATTCAGTATTATCAACATGTTCTGCTACAGAGTCCATCGTACTTGGTCTTAACAAGTCTCTATGATGGTAGTCTGCTTGCTCACTTGAAGCCATCCTTCTGTATAAATCATCAGAAGGATATCCACGTTCATCACTCTCTCTTCTCCCTGGTCTAGTATATAGATAATCCCACTGCTCGGCCCTTGTCTTGGTGGGACTAAATGTGTCCCGCCTATAGCCTGTCAGATCCTTGTGTTCAGCTTCCTGGTCTCTTACAGAGTCAAAAACAAACCTTTGGCCGTACCCTCCGGAACCCAAAGGTTCTGTTAGTTTTGCAGAGCTCCTTTGATATTCATTGGTGAAGTTAGCCCTCGAAATTCCAGAAGAAGTGCCACCAAAATCCTTGAAGGTGGCCATATAATCCTTAGATTGAGATTGTGGCACTGCGGGATAAGTAACATTCCTTGAATGAAACATGGGTTTTTCACCTTTTCCATATGGTTCCATAACTGATGACTTATCCTGCAGTGATGGGTCTTGATACCGAACCTTTTCATCCATGAAATGACCTAAATCCAAATGAGCTGATGAAGATGTGAAATTCCCACCACCTTCAACATATTTTGAGGTGGGTCCAAAATCTGTTATCAGCCTAAATGATTCCCTAGCTGTGCTATCTTCTAAAAGCATAGATTTCTGACCCAACATACCCTGCCGAACAGCATCCGGGAATCTACCACCATCAATATCCTTCTCTCTCATAATTCTTGAAGTACTATACTCATACCCATACTCATGCTTTGGACCTCTGTTCGCATCAGCATTCATATCCTTATAGTCAAAATATTCATGGCTACGCTGGGATTCCACTGGAAGTAAATCCCTACGTGAAACCCCTTCATCGTAGTGAGGCCTTTTATGCTGTGATTCCACTGGAAGCAAATCCCTAGCTGAAATCCCCCCATCATAGTGAGGCCTGTTATGCAGTTGCCCAAAAGGGGGCGACCTCGACCTCATCCTATCAACTCTACCACCATCCAAATCCCAACCATAACTCCTCCTTCCCAGTGAGGTGCTCCTTCTGTCCCCATCCAAGCCTCGCCGAAGTCCCTCTTGATTATGAGGGCTCAAACTCCTCCTAGACCGTGGCGATCGCTCCAGCACATCACGGCGAGGCATTGCATAAGGGTCAGGACCCAATTCAATTCGCCGGTCCCGTAACTTCCCCACCGGAGATTGGACCATTAAATCTTCACGCCTTCTCGATTGCATATTTTGCTACCCAATAAAACAATTAAATCGTTCTGATCTAGAAAATCTTCGATTTTTTTTTTTTACCCAAACGAGTCTGCTAAACCAATCAGGGTTTTACAGATACTTAGATATATGTGCAAATATATCCAAACCACTAACCCTAGCACGGACAACGACCCATAACGCAAGCCCTAACCCTAAAAAACCCTTCTAACAAAGATTAGAAATACAGATCACAGACTAGACTTCGAAAAGGGATTTCCATGTCAAAATAGATAGAAATTAGAGAGGAAAATCTGAAAATTTTCAAACCTTTTGGAGCAAATTGAGAGAATTCATGTTGCGAAACTGTTTCTGGCCTCACTCTCTCGGCGATCAACTCGTACTATGTGTGTATGATAAAACGGAACGGCGATTTTGTGAGTCTGTATATGTATTTTGATGCATTTTGTTCATATGAGTCGAGAAAGAGGTTCATATGAGAGAGTATACGATAAACGCGCACTAATTCATGATCTCACGCGGCAGAGGATTTCGGTTCTTTCATTACTGGTATGCACGTGCCTGTCACGTGATTGTTCTTTTGAAACAAAAGGGCAAAAAATGTACTAGTTGTATATATACTATCAATATAAAAATAAAAATAAAAATAAAACAGGGAAAAATTTTACAAGTTAGATCTTGAAATGAAAATTTACGGATAATTAAAAAAAAATTTTGAGAATAGTAAGTGTTAGGGGATTATTGTTAGAGGCATCTCAAATCGAATTTTTATGAGAAGTGAAATAGGTATTTAAAGATCGAGTGAGCTCAATCTAATAATTTAAGTTTTTGAATTGAATCTTGAAGCATCTAACTCGTTATCGTTAGTATTAGAATTAAACACAATTTTTTATTCAATGTCACACCAAGCGTCCTACCTGAAGAAGTCTAGATACCTTTCGGGTAAGGCAGGATGGTATGACCACAACTAGAGCGTTGTAAGTTCATTCGGTTGAGAGAGAATATTGAGTATTAGCTCCAACTATAATAGCTTAAGCTCTTGGATCGAATTTCTTTTCTTTTTTTATTTTATTTTCTTTTACTTTATTTTTTTCTGTTAAAGTAAAGTTCTATAAATACAAAAGGACAATAAACAAAACCCAGCCAAACAGGCCTGTAAAGTGGGGCCAGAGCCCAAACAAAGGCTAGTCGCCTTACAAAAACTAGAGGCCCAACCCAAGTAGTTAAGTAGTTAACCAGAGGCCCAACACTGTTAACCCAAGTAGTTAACAGTGTTCATATAAATGGGTCTGTGTCCCCCAACTCTGTACAGATCTTATAGTGTATGTTTCAAATCAAGTATGATTTTGTATTGTATTATAAACTGTGTAATCTATTAGCTTAAAAATTAAAACCTTGTATTCTTTTTCTTAATATTATTTTCAAATTTCAGGTGGTTTTGTGTTATAAGGAGATATTTGTCCCACATCGGATTTGGATGGAAATTCATAAAGTCTGTATAAATGAGTGGGTATACAGTAATATCCAACAGCTTGAACTTTTTAGTAAATGGACAAGCACCCACCCTTTACCGTACTTGGTATCAGAGCTAGACACGCCAAGCGCCCCGTTCAAAAGATGTCCGAGTGAGCCACTCCGTGTAGGCAGGGTGGCCTGATAAAATATTTGTCCCATATCGAATTTGAATGAAAGTTGAAATATGTATAAATGAGTGAATATATCTTTACATTTTATATAGTTGCTAATTCAGGGAAGCAAAGGCCCATTCTTTGTCTGACCCCAGCTTCAAGAACAATTTTGTGGGATTATGATGTCTAATCTTACTTTAAAAACAAATGTACATTACCCACAATTAATTGCATAATCAATCATCTATAAGAAGGTTAAACAATAAACATTCTATCAATTGTAGTTCTTCTACAAATTAAAGTGGCCGTATTAAGCTGACCTCCCATATTGAATATTTAAATAATAAGAAATCCCTCTGGGATTTTAAAAATAAAATTATCTACCACGGTTAGCGTTGGCTTGACCCAAAGGTACACATATGGACAAGAATGCCTTTTCAGACTTTCTAAGGGTGAAATTGGATTTTAAGCGAATTTTAAACACAACATCACAATACTTACAGATTTTATGACATGAGAGGTCACTGTTACTTAAATCAGAATTATAGGTTTCAAAATTACTCTTAGTCCAAATGCAACCAGTTGCATTCTAAACAGAATTGGTGGTATTTTCTTGAATGTGTGGGATTTTAACTATTTCTAAGATTTTTTTTTTTTTTTTTTACTTTCTAAGCACAATGATGAAGTCCGTGGATCAGTATTGTTTTTAAAACCAGAAGGGAAATTCTAATATTTTAGACATTTGTAGAGGAAGTTTGAATATAAATTTACTTGGTTTCACAAGAAGGATTAAGAGGGAATCTCAGTGAAGGACACGGTGCACATATGTTATCCTCTTATTTAGGCAATCCTATTAGAAAGGGGAGTTGTATGTACGGTATGGTAATATATTGCACAAGGCCTTTAACACAGTCGTGAGTCATAAATCAACCATCATTGGTTTAACTTAGAGAGATGCCTCTAAGACGGGGGACTCTATTTACCTCTGACTCTCGCTTGACAACCATATAGAATGTTCGTGAAAGTCAGGTAATATATTGAACACATGGCTTGGAGCTTCACTCAGGAGGTATTGACTATAACGGGAGACTGTAACAGAGTGTGTTAGTGATATTGCTCGGTGAGGTGGTAATATGTTCCGTGGCACAATGCTAGCCCACTTAGCATCATTCTCATGGTCTAATACATAGATTGGGGAGTTGCGATGTTGGTGTGAAACAGCTTGTAACGCAAGCGATCATGGTGTGTCGTTATGTCACGGCATGCAATGATCCCAAAACAGGAAAAGGGGTCTATTGTGGTATGGAGGCTTGAAGGAGGGACTCGCTGGGTGTGTTATATAACCAGGGTATATAGAAGAACCAGGGTATATAGACCTAGGATCTCAGTGGAGCAGGTGACCACGCTTCAACCAGGAATGACTAAGTTAAGTGCATGGGGTGCTAGTACGGAATAAGCTGAGGCATATGTCAGCACTGCCAGGACTCCTATAAATAAGGGTACCGGGTGACGCAAATGACAGATTTTTTGGAAGCCCTATTCCTCTTCATGCACTTATGACACTGTAGGTGCAAAATTTCGCTCAACCAATAATGATTAAGAAAAATAAAACAACTCACTCAATCAATAGTAAAAATAAACAAGAACAATATATCTCGAAGCGTAGAATTGCTTGATCCCTTTATTGGAGGTCTAAGCCTCTATTTATATACAAAAGATTGTAAAATTATGGTAGGACTCGCGTTGCTTGCCCTCCAATTCTTTCTATATAAACATTCTTTACTAATAGAGTTCTTTCCGTTGTCTAATTTTCCATACATAGAACTTGCCTTGTACAGAACTTCCTATCTCAGAATTTTCCTTCTACGGTAAATCCTTCAACTGATAGGACTTGTGCATTCTTGAAAAACTGGGCTGAATATACCTTGAACCAGCTGGGCTTGAATAACGGGCCGGATGTTTAATATTAACATGTTGGGCTGATAATCTTTTAATTCGGGCTTCAACAGGGCTGAAGGTCAAGTAACAATAGTATTGGGCTTGTGAACAGTGATCTTGGACTAGTATCAAACTCAATTTGGGTTTGACCGAGGTGGGCTTTATAAACTTATCAAGGATATATTTATATTTATGATGACGTGGATTATTCTCATTGGAGGGGATTTTTCCCTCCACACTTAGCCCCCAATTCCTTTTTTAATTGGAGTACTATTCCTAATAAGAAGGGAATTGAAGCTGTACGATTACGTAATAAGTGGATTTGAGGCGTGATTACTGATATTTTGACCAAAGGGTTTTGCATAAGAGTTACTTCCGCTTTTACTGCGTTCATTTCATTCCTTACGTTCTTCACTTTGTCACATCACTAGGTTAGAGCATTTGTCATGGCAGAGACTGGAGCACCTTGGAAGCCATTTATATCTAGAGCTGATAAATCAGTTCTTCACTCTGGTGATTCTATGATTACCGACCCCTCTGTAGCACTAACAGTTGCTCGGGGAATGTAATATGGAGTTGGAATAACTGCCTCCATCTGCTCCTGTTCGAGCCATTGAGGTTCGTCATTCTCCCTTTCTTTTTGTCTTCTCTCCATCAAGAAGTTGGAGAAAGATCTTTGGCAATTCTGAAAAGAAGGTCTCGTATGCAGCCATGAATGCAAAGATTTCATCTGAAACGAAGGATGTTTATAAGATAAGAAGTGTTTGGCCGTGTCTGAAGCTAAGGTGGAGACACTGGAAGCTGAGGCCCAGCGTTTGAAAAATGCAATTGGCACCCGTGGTACTGCTGGGAAGTAGATGCAAGGTCGTTACTCTACCTTGGTGCGCTTGTCAAGGGCTAAGGCCTTTCGGTTTGGCTTTGTACAAGGTTCGGGAGACAAGTTGAACGATCCGGAGGCCTTTAATGCTGACATGGAAGTGTCCTTCCCTTATCCTGAGGGTCCACAAGCCCAAGAAGCTGAAGTGTTTTTTGCTGAAATGGTGAAGTCTCATCAAGATGATCATCTAGCTCCAACCTCATCAGTTCCTGCAGCTCCCAACCCTTCGATTCCTCCAACTCCAAGTCCAACTGTGGTGGACACTTTTGACCCTACTCTGTTATGGGAATTTGTGACTGCCCTTACATTGCATACGCTTTGTTGCACAGTAATGTCCTCCTGTTTCTCAAGAAAATACACTTGTTTGAGGACCTCATATTTTTTGTGGTCCGAAGTGTACAGTTCCTCGACGCTGAGCCTGAGAGGAAATGTACTGAACCGGACACTTAGAGTCCTAAGCAAAGTATTCCTCGGCGCTGAGCCTTAGAGGAAATCTGCTGAATCGGACACTTAGGATCAGAAGCGAATCGGTCCTCGGCGTTGAGCCTTAGAGGAAACGTGCTGAACTGGACACTTAGGGTCTGAAGCGAAGTATTCTTCGGTGCTGAGCCTTAGAAGAACTGTAATGTAACGGACCCTGGAGAGCCGAGGCATGTAGTTCCTCGGCGATGAGCCTGAGAGGAAGCTGTAATGTATCGGACTCTGGAGGTCCGAGGTAGTAAGTTCCTCGGCTATGACTGTAATGTACCGGACTCTTGAAGTCTGAGGTATGTAGTTCCTCGGCTATGAGCCTGAGAGGGACTGTAATGTACCGGACTCTTGAGGTCCGAGGTAAGTTCCTCGACCATGAGCCTGAGAGGAACTGTAAGGTATCGGACTCTTGAGTCTGAGGTATGTAGTTCCTCGGCTATGAGCCTGAGAGGAACTGTAATGTACCGGACTCTTGAGGTCCGAGGTAGTAAGTTCCTCGGCCATGAGCCTGAGAGGAACTGTAAGGTATCGGACTCTTGAGGTCCGAAGTATGTAGTTCCTCGGCTATGAGCCTGAGAGGAACTGTAATGTACCAGACTCTTGA